GAAGTCAAGCTTCCTGGCCTGAGAGGGAAACTGCTGGAAGAAGCCAACTTTATCTCTTGGTAAAAGCCCAGGAGTAAGCAGGATCCTGAGACCACTGCCTAGCTTGACACCTCTGGTTTCACACTGAACAGACCCCTAGTCTTTGGAGAGAACCTGGTATGGCCACCCATGTCACCTTGGTTTAAGCATAGAAGATGGATAGATGGGTTTGAATTCAGGCTATAAGCATAGAAGGTGGCTTTGGATAGATAGGTTTGAATTCTGTTCCATCCAATTTCTCTGTAGCTTAGTTTCTTATCTGTGTCGTCAGAGAGACACTGATCCTACCTCATAGGCTTATCCAGAAGTTTCAATAGTGTAAAACATGTCGTAAAGGTCAATAAATGGCCGATAGCATTATTATTGTTGCTATTATTAGATAGTATTTTCAATGAGTTTGTTTTATTTTTAATTAATCATCATCATCATCATCATCATCATCATCATCATCATCGTCTTGAAAATCGCTAGGCACACCGTGAAGGAGGAACAGACCCAGGAGAGCCCTCTCAACACAAAGTCTTCCAGGAACTTGTTTGTTGGGTCAATCACAGGCGCATCACATCAGCCCCATCCCCCACCATTTTTCCCTGGGATATTTGCCAAGCCCTAAGCCAGAAAACCTTGTTACATTAATTATGAAGAAAAGGCATGTTTTATTTAAAATCCCGGCTGCCGAATATTCTGCCACGCTGTTTCTCTGTGACAGCAGAATTGCTTTTGCATTTAGGAAACCCTAATGAATTTAGAATATAAATATATCCGTGCCTATAGATACATGCAACTTCCAGCAACTGGATTTCCCTAAATACCAGTGTATACTGCCAGAGCTAATGAGTAGGACTCCTGCTTGGGATCCAGTTGTTTTTTAATCTGTGAAAAGTTTCATTGAAATTTTATCCTTCCCCTTTTCCAGAAGATTTTGTCTGGGTTAGAGCAGAGGCCAGGACCCCTTTCCTTTCCTGTTCCCCTAGGCATGAAAGAGACTGACATTCTGGGGTCTTGGGGCTTTGGAAAGGGAGGGACTCCAATGTCCCTGTGAATTTGGGTGCTGAGACAGGGGACTGGTCCATTCCAAACTGGCTCCACTACTTCAACATTTACACTATGTTTGAGCACTAACCATACAATCTCACTTCTCCTTTCCCCTCCCCTTCCCTTCCTTCTTTTTCTCTCCCTTCCTTCCCCCTTCTAGCCAGCACACAGCACACCAGTAAAGTAGAGAAGGTACAAAGTGATAGGTCATGGGATGGGGGAGACACACACACCCTTTACAAGTCCTGCATGAGTATGTACCTAGTGTCACTGGAATGTCTAGTTTTCAAAACTCCTGGGAGATCTCTATCTCTGTGTGCGATATTCTCATTCACAAATGCTGCCTGGCAACTTAGAAAAAAGGAGAATATTCTGCGGGCAGGCTGACTTTCCACCTGCCAAAAACCTCAGCTGGGA